GTGGAATGGAGAAATTTACAAAGTGAGCAACAGAGAAGAGAGGAAAAAAAAAATCTGAAAGCAGATTCTAAGAAAAAAATAGATAACATGCAAAACTTGCTTACTTTTTCTGTTTCAACATAAAATTAATTTTTTTCTGAGCTTGAAATGAAATGTTTAGGCACATCTAGCACTTTAATTTCAAACTAAATGTGAAAGCTTTTCATGTCACTGAATGCAAGACATAACTTTTAGCCTAAAAAAATTGTGCTGATGCTCTGTTGTTGTTCCTCTTTTGATTCTTTTACCAATTTAATAATGTCAAATTCAAAATGATAAGGCAATACAAATCTTAAAATACAATGTTGCTACAATATGCCTGGAAAGAGACACCCACATTAACATTACTATTATAAGAAAGACTTTAGTAACTTATTCTTGTTGGTCTATCAGTTAGATAGTCAACACATTAACATTGATGAGTTAATGAGTACATTCATAAACTTTGGACTGTCCACAACACTTGCTGCTACATGCCCAGTCACATAAAATTTTTAAATACAGAGACATAAATTTGTAAATTTGCAAGAAATCTGGTTTTATTAGTTCTTCTGCTCATAGGCAAATTGTTGGGAGTGGTATTTAAAAGGCTTGCTAAAATAATAGAATATGTGGAAATCTGTTTTGTAGATGATAGGTTGTATGAAATGCCTAAAATCTTAATGTCTCAAGAAGCTATACATAAGGCAAAGAGCTTCAACAAATTTACTACCAGGATATGCGTATTGTAGAGTATCAATAAATAAATCAATAGGAAAATGGGAAAAGAAGTCCCTCAGCAGGCATCAAATCAACACCACTGTTCATCAATACCACTGAGTGGCAATAAGCTTTGTATTTTATTTCATCCTTTCCAATTACTTGCTGTATGACTCTTAACAACTGATTTAATTAGTCTATTTTTGCATTGAGAGAATTTAGGTAATTATACTAACTTAACAACCTTCCCAGAGTGAGAGGATTCATTTCTTCTATTAATTTGGGGTTTTATTTAGAGCATAACATCTTCACTGCTGAGCACCTTTGGAGGCATGCTCTATATGGAAGCTGACGAAACTATAGCTGAGGCAATCTATAATTCTAGGTAATATTCAAAATGTTTTAAGATCCTGTAAATACAGGTACAGAAAGATTTGGCTCCATTCAGGAAATACTCAGCAAACTGTATAAATAGATTTGTATTATTATTTATATTTATTCCACATTCCTAACCCTGGTGTTTCAATAAACATTAAATGTCTGTCACCCATGTTTTCTGATCTTTTCTAAACCGTCTGTGCCTTTCAACATTGAAGTCCTGCTTATTTTGTTTTCCTGTTGACTTTATTTTCCCATCTCATTTACAAAAGCCTCTTTTAATCACCTTAAAAATGTTCAAATAACCAGCTTCCATGGCTGGCTTACCAATATCTAAGAAGCCAGAATTAGAGGATGTGGTATGCTGTAATCCTTGTAATTCCTATTCCTCAGTTTTTGGATGACAAAAGCAAGACTGATTTTCAAATATGCTAAGCATTTGTAGCTCCAGTAAACAGGGAATAGTAGCTCTCAGCCTTACTAACTGAAGGTATTCCAAAATGAAGTTCACAAAAATCAGTGATCTTAGGAATTCACTTTGAAAGGGGCAGCACAGTAAGCTATGTAAGCTATATCAACATAGCCCTGGAATGAGGGGGACCCGTCTTACAGCTTACTTCTGTGAGAATTAACACATATGTTTTGACAATGTTATCAGTGTGATTTTAAGGCTTTCTAAAAGGTCTGCTCTTGACAAAGATTTTCAAAGAATCTCCATCTCTTCCTCTTCATTTTCCTTACTTCCAGAACTTTATGAGGAGCTGATGTTTTTCTCTTGAGAGTTTATTAATTTATAACTCATAATGCCTAAAGAGGTTCGCTACCGTGCAAACAGCATGGAACGCTCATTTCCCCAGAACTGAGCTCAGCCTGTTCCCCAGGTACATCCTTTGCAGTTCCAGCTCCTCACAGTCGTAAGATGAGGGTTTAACCTTGAATACAGATTCTATTTCTACCTATTTTCAATCAAAGTTGCCATTTATCTTTCTTAATTTTCATGTTCTTTACTTTCATATACAATATAAGTAATCATTTCAAAAGCTGTTTCATTGCTCAAAACACACTTTCTTCAATATTCAGGTTCTTAAATCAACACTATCCTCTTTCTTTTTCATGTCACCTTCTGAATGCCATAGATACATTTGTATTCTCCCTGCAGACATTCTCCCTGTAGACCTTTAGATATTCTAAAATTAATTCCTCTTGCACAGACCAAAGAAAATAATTCTGGCCCATCCAAGTTGGCAGTGCCATAATGGTCTGCAACAATACAGAAAATGGCAATCTTGACATAAGATGCTTTGAAAATGCTTTGAAAGAAATTCTGGGCTTACCTGCAATGTACGACCATAGGTCCAGCATCAGGTGGGTTGCATGTCTTGACTCGTCGCAGGAAAGCTAAGAATGGTGTTGGGTGTTCTGGGACACCATGGTCAGGCCAGGCAGTGAACTGGAATTGCCTCACTTCCCTTTTCTCACTTGAACCATTCTATGAAATTAAAAAACTTCATGACAAAACTGCCACTCGTGATATTAGCACTTTTCAATGAAACAACTGCAGAAACACATATACCAGCAAAGTGTATTTAAATCACATTTGGGGCCAAAGAGAAATGGAACTTAGGCTATGGAGGGAAATGTTTCTTGTATTCTAAATTGCAGGATTCAAACAATGTAAGAGCTTTAACTATACTGCACAGTAATGCATCACAACAAATGCCAGAACTTCAGCTAGTATTTCATTCAGTTAAATGGTTTTTCATAGTGAGAGCTCTGTATTAACCTAGAAAACTCCATGCTGTAAGAAAAATACACTCCGTCTGTAGAAGTTTCACTGTTCAGTACTGCTAGGAGGAAACGTGGGACGAAAGTGGAAGGAGGGAAAGGGAAGAAAGGGAGTGCAGAAATAAGGAAGAAAGGCAGGGAAGGCAGGAAGCAAAAGGAAGGTGGACAGGAAGGCAGGAAGGAAGGGAGGAAGGAAGGAAGGGAGGGAGGAAGGAAGGGAGGGAGGGGAAAAGGAGAGGAGAGAAAAAGGAAAAGGAAGATAAAATGAAAATGAAAAGGAAATGAAAGGATAAAAGTTGCCTACATTTAAAGTATATTGTAAGTATATATAAGTATATATACCTTGTAAAGTGCAAATGTACGAACACAGTACGTTGCCAATTCAACAGTGTCTAAAAGGGTGACTTGGATTAGTCCGTAAGTTTCTGTGCCTCTGCTTGGCCAGTATTGATCACACTTCACCTGTAGTGAAAAAATATATAATTATTTAATACATTTAAAACTGACATTTATTACACATCTGAGTGTATATCACTGTACGTTTTTACAGTAAGTGGAGACAGAATGTTCAACAACTGCTAAGGATCCAACAGAAGAAATTTATTTTATCGTCATTGCTTCATTGCTCTTCTGGTAGTAGCTCTTACAATATCTTGTTCCATAATGGGTATTCGAAAATTCAGTGGGGCAGATGATTAGAAATACAAATAAGTATAGATACACTAAAGAAAAAACATTTTATAGTAGCTAAAAGTATGACCTATATCTTCAGTAACTCACCTTTCACAGTCCAGAATTTAGTGACAGTACTAATCCAGTAAAGGTAGACACACAATTTTTCAAATATTTGCCATATTTCACCTATTTCACATTAGTTCTCAAACATATAAACTGTTGCTTGGATGCTAATATTTAGTATGTATAGAAATATCTCAGTAAAAACCTGATTTTTTTGAGAAATAATTTTAGTACACGGATAAATGAAAGAGCACCAACAACTATTAAGTGCACTGTGAGAAAAAACAATTTCCTTCTCAGATCAGTGTTATGAAGCATATAACGAAATTGTGTTCATAGACATTTAAAAAACATGGTTTGACAGAGAGAGTTCATCCATCAAATATTAAAAGGCACAGGACATTTAATTTAGAGAAATCTCCGTTTCAAAACACCATAGTTTAGAATATTAACGAGCTGATATAATTCTGTGTAAGATAAGAGAACCATATGTTTATCATCATTGCTGAGGCTCAATAATTTGTTTCAGTTAAAAATGGTATTTATAATGAAAGCTATTATGAAAAAAGAAATGCTGAACCCCTAAAACAATCAGAAAACATGGTACAAAGTAGTATGGGGGTTAAATAATTGAAAATATTTTGCTTTCAGTGACTGATACGTGAAACTGAGACAGTCTCCGTTCTATTTATAGCAATACATTCTTATCAATTAGCCTTGCATATGGTGCAGAAGTGTATTCTGAATCCAGTAATAATATATTGCATTTTTTTAATAAATGTCTTCATTAATCACTCTAAGCCAGACTCATACCAAATTCATTGAGAACACACAAACTGTAAGAAACAACAAAAGCAGAATATTGCACAGTATTTCTGATAAAAATGTTAATTATCATGCTAATCCAAGAGAAAAACTGATGATTCCCCCAAAGTGGAAAATGCGTATTTGAAACTCATGTGTTCTCCAGGTTTCTCACTCTGCACAGTACTTATTGAAAAAGACTTAGTATGCTCTCAAACTCCCCAGTCCCGAATAGCTTTTGCTTGCAGATCACTTTATTTTGAGGCTCACAGTTCACAAATGACAGTCTGAGAACAAGGAATCTAGATAAAGAGGAGAAAAAATTCTAACCACTGAAGCAGGTGATGAACATTCATTAGAGGCAAAAAAACCTGAAACAATTTTTTACGGGAATTGATAGCTTAATTTATAGATAAGGAATTGGAACAAAGTAACTAAAAATGTTTATTGATACTACAGTCTTAAAAATGGGATTAATAGTGTATAAAATCCTCTTATTAAGAGGAATTACGTAATTGCTTCCTTGTGCCATTTACTGAAATAATGAAAGAGTAAGTATTGCAGGTACTTCAGGAATATCAGTGATTTATTTGCAAGATTCCTAATACTAAAAGAAGGCACCGTGGTCTTCTGCAAATCAGATAGAGAAGGTATATTTTCAATTGAGTTATTTCAAGTAATTATAGTAAATCTAGTTTCACTTTAATTAATATAGACACAGTATAACTTGTGTCTATATTGGTTAGCTGTATTTTAGACAAACAAGTTGTGGTTTATTATTTATTATTTATTAATTCCCATAGAATGACATAAATTTTTTCATGGAAAACCTTGATACATAATAGCTGTTGTCTGTAATTTTAGCAACTACAGGTTTAATATAAACCTCTGACTAAACCTGTTTGGTTTGAATGATCTTTTAAAAAAATGAATAAAAATGGTAGAATACTTTATGTATTTTTAATAAAATGAATACAAGAAATAAATGTCTGCTATGCCTTTGCTTGCTTAAACATGCAGTTTTCCTCTTTACCTTGCAGTTCCCACATATAAATTGTACACTCATAGAAGCAGTGCCAGCTTCCAGAAAGCATGCCTGAAAAATTAACCAGCTTTCTCACTAGAAAGACATTATAAAAGCAACTTCCAAATGTAATAGAGAGAAATAAATGTTCAACACAAAAATGAAATTGAAATTCAGAACATAGTAGGTTACCAGCATCTTTGCAAACAACAGAAAATACTTGTTTTATTTTTATTTTCTATAGTAATCTAATGTTAAGCATATACTCAGATTTAGAAGCCTGTAGACAATTGCTCCTTTTCAGTTAGGCTGGGAGAAAATAAATGTGCCTGCTCTTTTAGGTGCAGATCTTAGGTTTTTTTTTCATTTATTACTTTATCCAACAAAAACTCCAAGAATTTTAAAATTTTTCTAAAATACTTCCTGTGAGAGCTAGCTGATACAGAGGACTGCTGCTGAAAGCAGACATTAACTGTTCAAAAATAAATACAATTTGTAGACCAGTGTATGTATTACTTGAAAGTGGAAACTGATGAAAATAAGTATCAAATTTTTAGAAAGAAAACCTGATTTTGGATTGATGTGGATTTAACCTTCTGGAAGAGCACATGAAGCATAAGCTGATGGAACTATAACTTTTATTTCTTTTGCCTCTTTATTTTTCTCAGAACAAGAGGTCTTCTTCAGAGATGTGCCCTTACCTGCCTCCTACACTCTTTTGCTCTGTGATCATAAACCTTACATTCCCAATACTCCTAACAATTTAGAGTCCAATTTATCTTTGTGAGAGATCAGAACAATGTTTTCTATTGGACTTCACCAGCAGCAGAGAATCGAATAATATAAGTTAATTGTTAAGACACTATTTTCTGAGACAGAGTTCTTGTTAAATGTTTTATCCTATGTTAAGATCCCAGCCTTCAGCACTTAAAGTAAGTTTATTTTTCAGAGGTTACCTGTTAATGTTTTTTTTAGAAAAAAATTCTCAAACCCCTTGAGTCATCCAAAATTTAACATTATATGTCAACAAGTCAATTCTGAAAGTATTTGCCAAATGTTTTTTTGCTTTAGGTCTTTGGTCTGTGTTTAATTTCTCTGCAGTAAGGGCAATTTCTTCCTCGCTTGTGTACATTGTTTGGAAAACAGACAACTTTAATGTGGTAAAGTATGGTGATGATAACATGCGTCCTCCTTCAGAAATACAATTACAGGGTTTATTTATTTTCAGAGTTAGTCTGTAATACACCTTTGGTGAATTTCATAGTCCTCATCTTCCTCTTATCCACCCAGCTTCCAGTTCCAAGGGTTGATCTTTTCCTCTGCAGACTATATTCACCTGCACCCAGTGAGAGCTTTTCTGTGCCACTAACTGTACACGGTTACAGAAAACAGCTTTCACCAATAATTCTCTAATGTTCTCTTGCATGTCACGAAAGATGGCAAGATGAACGAAACAGACACATGAGCATAGAAGAACTCATTGGTGATTTCAAAGACTATTTTTTAAAGAGAAATTAAATTACAAGTAATGACAAGCATTTTACTACTACTTTCACTATTTCATGATCATAGGTTGCACACTGCCAAAACCACTACATCTGAGATCAGAGCAGCTCTCAAAAGACTACTAAATATATTATGAAATCTTTTAAGTACTATAGTAGTAGACATAGCTAGAAGACATAACTAATGATAGGCACATTCTCTTAACCTGCCCCTCAAACATATACATTTTGTTTCTCTACATTTCTTCCACTCAGACCATGCAAATCCTTGCTCTTTGTGGAAGTACGAGCATTTGCTGAAAGCAAAGCTGTAAGAAAATGTAAATGCCTTCTTTTCCATTAAAAATGAGAAGCTTGAGACCATTTCAGACTTGAGGGGTTTAAGTAGCTACAGAGTTCCTAAGAGTATTTGTGGATATTCACACTTCAACAAGTCACAGACACTAGAGAAGGCGCTACCATGCATCAACAGAGCTGAAGGAAGTGTATTTCCATATGAACATATGAATACAAAGATTCCTGACATTCAAGGGTAGAGAAATAATTTTCCAGTATAAAGTTCCATCATTCAGGCTGAAAAGCCCCTTCAGGTGATTCTTAACACATAAGCCAGCTGTTACAGGCCAGCTCAGATTGTAAGGACAAAATGCAGATCAAGAAAGAGACAGCAAACTAGTAATAGGCAGATTCATATAGTACATTCCTTGCTATAAGAACAGCATATGAATTGTGCTGAATCTGGAATAGGAAATAACAGCAGCATGTAACATACTTCTTGCTCTGGTTTTCTTAATAATAATAGTCCTGCAGACAAAACTTTCTAATGACATTTTCAGATAGTCTTCCTTCAAAAATAAAGTATCTCTACAATGATGTTGAATGATAATAATAATAATTATGCAATGAAAAAGGTAATGCCAGTTGTTGGCAATGGAAACTGCCTGAAACCCTATCAGGCTAGCTTAGTGCCTCAGACATTCCAGCTAATGTTCTGTCTCCAAGCAGTTGCTACTCTGAAGCCATCTTCCTTTTTGCAACAATGCCTTGCCACCTAAAGATTGGGCTGGTTTGAGTCTAAAGATAGTAGTAACTGACACTAGTACATGAGATTGTAATGCAAAGATTAAAAAAAAAAATCGGAATAGAGAAACACATTTGTTAGGCCTTATTTGAACAAGATTTGGTCAAGTGTCACTCATTCACTTTAGTCTAACTCTAAATGACAGAATAAAAATATAAACTCCTATTCAGAAGTAAGGCTGAAAATAAAACAGTTTAAAGTTTTACATTTTGCTTTCAGAGAGGCACTGAATTTAGTAGGATCCTAAATTCTGAAAGAACTGAACACCCAGCCCCAGGCAGACAGATCCTTTTAGATCTCACCAAATGTA